AATTCATTTATGAGGCAAAACTGCTAAACATTTACAGGTTCAGACTGACTAATCAAAGCTTCTAGGCAGGATTAAGAGTAGTCAGCCATCTTTCTATCTGACAAGTGTGGATGAGATTGAGATTTTCTTAACATTGTTAAGAAAATTGCTATATAAATAAAGTTTATTAACTGCCACACCCGAAAGTGGGGTGAAAACCTATTAGAGAGGGAGGAGATGCAACTTTGTTAAATATGGGGATATCAGCACATTTTCAGACAGTCTCTTGGGGAAGGTGTTTATGTAAAGTGCCATAAAAAAGGACCCTCCTTGTCACTTCTGATGGAGTATACGGGCACCTTAAGTCAACTGACAACTCTGAAAATGTAAAATTTGTTTGATTATAATAAAAAACATTATATTTATTGTTCTTTGCAAGCTTTCATGTTAACTGAAAATCATTCAAAACAAAAAAACACTTTAAGTAGAAATCAGCTAACTGGAACATAATGTCAGGCTGAATAATGACCTGAAATAAAATGGCAATCCAGTTTAATTATCAGGCTAAGTAATCATTAGTTGTAGCCCTAATAAGGAGCTCAGTGTCATTAAACTTTTTCATAACATCTCTTTGGGGGTTAAAATATGTGACTGACTCCACATGAGATCAGGCTTGACATGTGTGAGAAATGATAGGCTGGGCAGCCGAGTGAAAGCCACAAAACTGTACAATATTTCTGATTTTACGTTCTCCTCCCATCATATCAACTTGCTGACATCAAATCTACCTTGAAATGAACTGCGGGGTCCACAGTGGAAGACTGGGCCTGATTTGAATACAGTTTGACAGAATCTGCTGCTTGTGTACCAGCAGTTTTATCATTCATTTCACAGATATTCTTTCAATATTTATTTGCACTCTGTTTGGTTTCCTTCACTTAGGGCCAATTTGCATTCAATTAGAAATACTGTGAAAAAAGGTAAAGCCAAGCTTAGACAAAACAAAAAACACTACAGTGATTACATTTAGTCTCTCACTGGTTAACAGTGATATTATAATCAGGTGAACTGTGCACTTTTTGCAATAGCTCAATTCTAACACCTGGATTTTTGTGCAACCTGTGGTGCTTTATTGTTTAGTGTAGGTGTTGCTGACTCAGTCTGCCTCTGAATGTGACTGTTTTGGGCCAAAGCTGTTGCTTTTGCTGGCGTATTGTTGTGCAGTATAAAAATATGTATGGATAATCCTGACAGCCTCACTTAAATTTCTGCTCCCTGCAGCCACGCAGCTCTGCTGAGTGGGCCCTTTTCCTTTTCTGCTGCGATGCAGGTATTCACTGGGGTTGAAACATTGGCCTTAATGTAGTTTTAGCTGTTCCTTTTTTCACATAAAATGAGGTTAGGCACATTGGCTAAAAACCTGGGGTTTCAGCTGGACTTTCTCTGCATTGACGTGGGTATACAGTGCATGTGCAAATTATTACTTATTCATACATCACGTTAAACATAAATAATAAATAGAGATGGTAGAAATACAGTCAGATAATTAGCACATTAAAAAAATAACAGAAAAGAAAGCCTTAAAAAATATAGAAATATAGATGACTAAGAATACTACAAGCATATTGCACTGAATAATAATATGGCAGATCATGTAGTCATGTTAACAATCAAATCAAAAAGAAAAAAACATTGGAGTTTTGAGAATGAAGGCGATTTAAAACCTCTAGGGATTGGGTTTAAAATGCGCAGTAGCAAGTACACCAGTATCCAGTTTATAAAGATAAGGTTATTGAGTGAGATGCATATCAGCCACTTGTGTTTACCAGACAGACTCACTGCTGTTCTGATCTGTACTGATTGTGGCTTGCAGGGAGCAAAACAGCCAGGCTGAGTGAGGAGTTCATTACCTTTCTAACACCTCTTTTTTGGGCTGAACTGAACTACACATCCAATTGTGTGTTGTCTGCAGCTATGTTGTGTGGGTATCAGGCCAGCTGACAGTGGTAAAACAGGTATTCAGTATGGTGCGAGCCAATCGTGACGTCACCCATTGATTTGTGGAGAACCGTTTTGCAACCTCAAGTTTAGCATTGAGGCAGTCATCATGACAGAGCCAGCAGAGGTGACGTACTGCGAGTTGAGCTGCTCTTATTGGCGGTTTGCCTGGTCTCACACAGTCTCGTATTAACAGCACACTAAAATATGTTTCTGAAAAGATTTTAGGCGAGAAATAGGCAGTGCAGGGAGAGAATCTTGATTCATATTTGATTAGCACTGCTTAGTCTGACAGTTTGATTTGACTTTTGTGCGTTGAGCTGGACAGACTCACTGAGAATGTCTATCACAAGATAGCCACACCCTAAAGCATACCCTGCTCTATTTACTCTAACTGAGACATTCATTTACAAAATGAACATCATGCTGTATGGAAGAAGACTACAAACTCCATAAGACTCAATGATATCAGATTTTTTTTTTGCAGCCCATGGAGCTGCCTCCTGCTGGCCATTACATGGAATGCAGGTTTAGGACACAAGCCACAAGACACAAGCATTCTTGGCTTCACTTCATAGACCTGGAAGCTGTGTCCACTATATATACTGTCAACGGTATTACACAGAGAAATAAGATATATCAGACTTTGTATACACACACAGTACTTGTTAATAGGATCAGTTCATTGTTGGGTTATGACAGTTCTATAACACAGTGTACACATACTCGAAAATGTACTTTACATTATTATTACTGAAACATTCATTTGTAAGCGGGATTTTGATGTTTATGTACCTGGAGCTGATTTTTTAACTATTGCTGTGTAGCAACACGGGATATGAAGATTTGTGAAAAGGTTTCAACAAATTGGTTCATAGCACAGAAAAGGAAACAGAAAGCTTGAGAGGTGAACAGGGACAAGTTCTGTAAAACAAAACAGAAAATCAAGCAGTATTTCAGAGGACAACCAGTGACAGGACCAGGCTGGTAGAATGCAATGAATCACTTGAAGAAGGAGCTTCACTCATAATGAAAATGATCATCATGGAGCCGGTCCTCAGAGAGTGGCAGCAAACAGCATAGCAGATGTCAAACAGCTTTTCAATCACTTTCCTGGGCTTTTAAGCAGACTCAAAACATATGGGTTGCATCCATTAGTGCAATAGTCTTTCAGTGCTGCCTTTCACTCTGTCCTCTTGGCATGTGCAGCGACACACTGTCAAAGTAGAGATCTCAGATAATCTGGATAGTGTCAGACTTTCTGTGGTAGAGTTCGGCTTCAATGGAAGCTGTAGCTACAGTACAACCACAAACCCACAGTTTAACTTCCTATTATGTCAAACTGTGTTTGTGTGCGGGTGTGAAAACTGCCGTGGCTGCCGCTCACTTATTGAAGCTTATTTGCCTGTGGTTTGCTTCAGATGGGGTTTGGTTACTGCCGGTTCACCACAGCACTCTCTCCGCTTCACACACTTTGTCTCTGCTTCCCTGTCACTCTTGTCTCCACCAGTGCCATTGAAAAAAAGAGAGAAAAGGTCCTTTTACTGCAGTCCAGAAGCTGTTCTCTTCGGCAGCCTGCGAGTCAGCCAGTGAGCCACCTGTTTGGCCTCCCCTGTTGTTTAGCCAGAGCTCATTTGGAGCACTTTGCCACCCAGCAGTAATGCCAGAACACTTTCGTTTTCTCACAATCTTGAACTGGGTCTAGTAGTATTTAACGCAAGAAACAACAAAAGCAATCTTAAGAGGAACAGGAGAGGATGATCTATAGAGAATTAAAAATTTCTATAAACCATCCAAGATTTTTGAATCATGCATTTTGTGTTATTAATCAGCCAAATCAGAACATGCTGATTGTGCAGATCAAAAGAAAGTTTTAAAACTGAGAGTAAGTAAGAGAAGAATATAAAGAAAGAATATAACTATTATATATGACTATAAGTAATAGAAAAAGAAAAATCCATTAAAACGTTTGCTGAGTTTTGTAAATCCATGGGCAGACAGGTAAAAACCCTAAACCATTTCCAATTTGTAAAATACTTTTTTCATCCATAAAAACTGTTCTAAAACATGTACAGAGCCAGTGATTTCTGAGTAGTCTGTAACCGCAGTAACTGTAAATATAAAGTATGCATAGCTAATAGATGAGTGACTATATCATGTGATAATTAATATAAATGGAATGAAAACCGAGCAAAAGCAGCCCAAGCATTGATTAAACAGACATTTAGGTCTAACCACAACCATTTACCAAATCCTGATACACAGCTTTTTCAGCAAGCAGCAGCCTTCACTGATTTATACATCACCCAAGGAACCGAAATGGCTCACAACGCACCATGAAGTCCTTACAACAGTCTTTCTTTCTCTGCCTTGCTGTCTGAGTCTCTCTCTCTTTCTCACTATAATGTTATCACTCACTATCTTCTAACTGATGGTTTATCAGCATCCGACAAGCCATGCCAAGGCAGAAGGCTGTTTACTGTGTTGTAAAAAAGTCTGAGAGTGGTGCCGGGTGTATAGGCAAGGGGGAAAAAAACTGTCAGCAGTAGCAGGCGGTTAAGAAACTCATTACCTTGCAGCACATTATGGCCGAAGAGCGTCACGATAATAATTTTACTCATACTGCCAGTTTAGCCGGGGTTTACTCTCGTATGTGACACCTGTGAGGCAGCTCTGTGTGTGTGTGTTTGCACATAATCTCTGCGACTACCTCCTATATCCTCAGCTTAATACTGTCCCCATTCACTGTGCAGTGCTGATAGCATAGCTTAGCCTCCAGCTAAAGCAAGCCAGCGATGTAGTGCCTGTTTAGTGCGGGTATAAATGATAGGACTTCCATTAAGAGGATGGAACACATTGCAGAATGGCTTTATTACACAGCTGGCCGCTGCTGATTTCTGATGTGGCTTCACATTATCTGCCAATATGTAAAGTGTTATGAATATTATTGTTGAAATAATATCTTTACTTTTTTCTCTCTATCCCTATCTGTCATTTTTCTCCCTGACTTTCTCTCTATAAAGCAACAGTATTGCAGCATCTGCGGTCTGTGCCTTCAACCTGAGCGCCATCACCCAGGCCTTCAACGGGCCCTTCCGCTCCCAGGAGAATCCTCGCTCCACCTGGCTTCCTACGCCCAACCCCATCCACAACTTCCAGGTTAGTTTACCACTTGGACAATAGCTAACACATATGTCCAATCATCCAACCCTAATATGATATTTCTTTTTTCCACAAAAAAGGTGTCAAACTCTAACAATGTTTGCCCGTTTTACTAATCAGTGGAGTTTTATGCATAGAAATAATCCAATTTAGAACCAAGTCAAATCCAGCCTCAATTCCAACAAACAATGTAACTACAATGTTACTTCTTTTTTTTTATAATTAAACCATCTCTAATCTAGTGTCTGAAACCTCTTGGTGTCTAGAGCTTGCTGGTGGTGCTACACAGCATGGCTGAAAGCACAAAGCTCACCTTTTACAGTACACTGAACTGAAAACAAGTTACACAAGTGCATTCAACTTCATGGCTAGCTAACTGCACAGGTTACCAACAATGGGCAGAAATGGCCACAAACAGTATCTGATATCCTAAGAGATTCCTAAAGCTTTTTTTTCCTTCTCTCTTTGCTCTGATTATCACCTACATAACCACTAACTAAAAATCATTTTTGGTTTTCAGAAGTAAAAAATATAATGTAAAAAAAGTGATACAGATGTCAGATAACTAATAATATAGATATCAGATACCTACCAAAAAAGAAAAATCATTGTTATACTTCCAAAACTATCTACTGCTCTATAAACATCACCCAAAAATGGAATCTACCAACAAATCAATGTTTCATTTCAAGTTCCATAGAATGAGCAGAAGATGCAATCCACAGCTAAGCTCTGCAACACAAACAAGGCTTTCAGAAAGCTGTCATTTCATATTTATTCTCCTGCGCTGTCTCATAATTGTTGTTGCCGTGGCCACATCACAATCACACTGTAGTTTTGATCCCCTGAAAAAGTTTCAATTACTGAGAATAGAATTAAGAATTGAAACAATCTAGCCAGACACTATGTATTGATTTGGTAAGTAGAATGATGGGAAGGGTACTTCTCCATTGTTAGGTTATTCTTTCTTTCTTCCATTCTTTCTGCTTTCCTTTTTAATTTTTCTGCATCCATACCACATTTTCACATCCTTTTCTGACACCTCACCCTTCTCTCATCTCTCACCCGATTGCCTTTCTTCTCCAGTGTGGTACAATAAATGATGAGGGTCCCAATGAGGGTTTGACGGAGCGCAGCCTGCAGGACGCCCAGCGGCTCTATCTGATGAATGACGTGGTCCAGCCAGAGTCTGTAGATCCGCTGGTCATGCAGGATGACGTTCGCTTCTCCAACCTGGTCGTGGACATTGTTCAGGGCATGGACACCCTCTACCATGTTATGTACATCAGCACAGGTGAGAAAAGGAGGATTAAAACTATACTTAATTTCACACACCTGACATATAGTTCAGTATTTTATCTCAAATATATAACCCGAAAAAAAAAACATTAAGCCAAGAAGAGCATTTCATTTGCCTGTTTACAAGATCTTTCTGATATTCCTTCTTGTCCAATCAGAATATGGCACCATCTTAAAGGCACTGGCTACTCCCAATAAGAACCTACAAGGCTGTTACTTGGAGGAGATGGAGCTTCTCCCATCTGGGGTGCGAGAACCAATCCTGAGCCTGCAGATCCTGCACAGCGACAGGTCGCTCTTTGTTGGGCTCAACAATCGAGTCCTGAAGATCCCACTGGAAAGGTGCTCCACCTACAAAACTGAGACGTGAGTGTTACACAAAATTTCTACATCTAGGCGAAATATGATTCAGGCCAATCATATTACGTATCCCAGCTATCAAAGGGAACCTTAGTTTAGCCATTGTATAAAATGTAATAGTCTGTAGTACCAAGGGTTGTCCAAAATCATGACTCAGCAAATCAATGGATTTACTGTACAAGTGCGTATTTTATGGACTTTCCACGGACTTCATATTACTATGTGATTTTGTTTGGATGATTGCCATAATCCCTACAAATATGGATGGCGATGGAGATCAGTCTAAGTCTCATCTAAGTGCATTTTATCTCCTGACAGCCCAGCACCGTCACATATTGCATGACCAAAGTCTACAAAAATCCACATTTGGATTCTGCTCAGATTGTGCAATATTTCTCACTTGTTCAAGCATTGGAGTGCTGCTCATCATCAGTGTGCTCAGTGCTGCCACATGTGGTCAGAATTTAGATTACAACAGTCTATGCTTCTCCATCAGTATTGTTGCAGTATAGTTTCTAGCTTCCAGTGGCAGCACTGAACACAATGCTGCACCTTTGATAAGTAGAATCATGGTCCTGACCCGGGCTAGCTCTAATGAGGCATCTGGGGGCTTAGTGGTTAACTGCATACTGTTGTTACAACGTCCCTGGTTCGAGTCTTGAAGGGACCTTTGTTTGCATGCCATTCCTCCTCTCTCTTTCCTCTCATTTCCTGTCACCACTGCACTGTCTGTTCTGATTTTTGCTGAGCTTTGAGGCTCCTTAAAGTCCCACCACAAGAATAAAGTGACTAGCCACACAAGGGACAGGAGTCCTCACTTTCTGAAAGCAGCCGTGCGGTATACACAGTGTATATTTAATTGTTAATTTTATGCATTTTGGCAGTGGATTCATTTGAACCTGGTTGGTCCTCTAGTGAAGGTAATTATCTGTCCTCAACTAGGATTAATGTCTGGAAGACCTCGCCTATAATCATTAAAGTCCTTATGGAACCAGACAAATGGCTGGGGCGGTATCTGCTCACAAGAGGAAATTAATTTGTTGTGCTGGTTTTCTTTTTTTCCAGTAATGAAGTTCTGTATAATACAGAGAGAGCACTGTTCTGGCTTTTGTTTGTCTGAATCAGAGGGTAAACAAAAAGTGTGTGTGAAGCTAACCTTGTACACTGCCAGAGAAGTTTCTCTGAAGGCATGTTTGTGTGTCAGAGAGCTACAAAGATGCAGAGAGAAAGAGAGAGGCCTTTTGCTCTGCCATCTCCAGCCTCAGTGTTATTCATGTGAAAATCTTCATCTTGAGGGTGAGCGAGGGGAGAAAAGCTCACTGGCTGTTTGTCCAACCTTCTGTATCTCATCAGTGCTCTCAATCAGGATCCTCAGCCGGCCACCTCAGTCCTTCAAAGTCAACTTCATTTTAGCATACAAATGGCTCGATGCTTGTGTGTGTGTGTATGTGTGTATGTGTGTGTGTGTGTGTGTCTGTATATGAAGGGCAGTCTACTCGGTGTGATTTGTGTGTGGGTTGGTGCTTGGACGAGTTCTCATATGCGCACTGCCTGATGAGTCAGCTCGCTATTTCTAGTAAATCCCAACTCCTAGACACATGGGAGCAGACTCACACACACACACACACACACACACACACACACACACACACACACACACACACACACACACACACACACACACACACACACACACACACACACACACACACACACTCATGCACGCACGCACACTGATCAGGTAGGGAAACCATTGCGTTTAATAAGATGTGAGTGATACAGGCGAGATGAGAGAGAGACACAGAGAGGAACAAGAAGGGAGAGAAAAGCCAAGAGAAATACAGATACAGGGAGAAAAGCAGGGCGAGCAGCCAGAGTCCTATTTAAGACACAGTGGGGTGAAACGATAAGAAGAGTGGGCTCCAAGGGCACCAGAAGGGGGGAAGGAGGGGGTGCGGTAGGACGGGCCATTGTTAATCCAGTCTGCAATATTCTGCTCGCCTCTGTAGCTCACTCACCCTTTCAAACACACTGCAGCCGAAGTCAAACTGAGCTGCAGTATACGACCTGTCCGTCAGTGTGTCACCTGAGCTCGTCTGGAGGGACTCAAGCAAGCAGAAAAGGGCAGATGGTTGACAAGAGATCACAAAAAAAAGGAGGCCAGGTAGTGAATTAATGCACAGGGGCTAAAAAATCGATTCACTTAAGTATTGTCCAACGTTTCATGATGTTATCGATAAGCATATTGTCCCAGCCCTAATTAGTTCAACTAATATTTACATAAACAGGTAATCTGTTGATTAGTGAAAAATGCTGATTTCAATTAGCCAGAGCTAAAGGTGACAATTTAAAATAGCTGGTTTTCACAGATAAACATTTCAAAACTCAAAGATGTTCAATTTACATTGATATAAACCAGAGAAAAGCATAAAATCCTCACATTCGAGAAGCTAGAGCGTTTTCCAGGAGAGAAGCTTGTTTTACTGTTGTGTGTGCCACTACACACACATTATCACAGCAGAAGGAGCAATTACACAAGGAGAGTTATTTTCTTTTACAGATATTGACGAAGAGGGTTTAAAAGCAGCTTTCACTTTTGGTTGGCAGGGTGGATTTTAACTTTGCTGAGCCTGGTGCTCCAACAATTTGTTGATCTTTGTATTTAACAAACTGCCAGTTGAAAACTGATCCATGAGTGTAATATCAGATTTTTTTAATTTAGCGTACTGCAAGCGATGCAAACACTGGGTACTAAGTAAGGATAAAATTTCAAAAAGCAGAATTTGACAAGGCACACTTTTGCTACTATCACTGCCCTGTTTGACACGAGTCAACACAAGTAGCTGAAATTATCCGTCTTTGGGGGTCTCGGAGCTAAACTAGACTTAACTCTCACTACTGTATCTGACCGTGGACCACAGTGGACTTAAACAATTGTTTAATTTGTTTCAGAATTTGTCCCTACCTATGCACAAAATCTAAAGCTGCCGGTGGTCAAATTTGTGGATTATTGACCAACTGGAGTCTGTTGAGGGGGGCTTGCCCATCTTTTCTTCCAGCAGTGCTACTTTTGCAGTAGTAGCAGATTAAAGACTTGTTGATTCAGAGCTTGCAAAGCCACCGTATCTGCAAACATAAATAATACACTCCAAGTTTAACAATTTATCTCAAATGTCTTGGAAAAGCTGCTGTAAACAATCACACAATCACAGAAAAACTGCATGAATGCATCACTGAGAAAAACACTGTGATTTTTCTAACGTTGAAGCACACCAAGCTCTGGCTCTAACTCCTTTTTCTACCTTTCTTTAACTTTCTCTTTCTGTCTCTCGAGTTCTGTTCAGACTATAGGAAAAAGACCCACCTGCTGTTCGTTCTGCTCTTTGTCTGAACACACTCCCCGTCATTGTACTGCTAACTGAATGAGCCATTCTCCTCATCTCCTCCGCATTGTGTGTGGTCGTCCCATTCACATACAGCCATATATCCATTCACGCACTGATAACAGCTGAATTTACTCAGATGGTTTTATGTCTGACGGTGGCTCATTTGCAGGCACACATGCTGCTGTTCACCATCATACACATTCATATGAACAGTAAAGAATGGCAGTATTTAGAGTACTGAGGGACAGAGAGAAGGGGAGACACGATTTATGGTTATGTCATAACTTATCCGCTTTGTTATAAAATATCCAGTTGGTAATGGAATAAAATATGGACCGTGTCAATTCCTGTTCAAGTATGCAACTGTGATGTAGAAACTTGAAGCCAGCAGTGCACATACACTGAGAATGGAGTTTATAGTGAAATAGGAGACGTCTTGTGTCCAGCAGGAAAACTTGAATGAATAAAATTAGCATATTTATAGATTCTGACATTTTGAATAAGGTAGAGTCGTAAATAAAGATTTTAATTTGGAAATTATACTTTTTTTTGCAGAATAAACAAATCAGACATACATTATTGTTCCAAGCAGACTATTTGTATACATGTCTGGAAGGGATCCTTAAACATGCAGTTGAAATGCTGACTCTTGCAGTTGAGCTTACAGCAGCATGTTTGGATGAATGCATACAGTGGTTGCAGTCTGAAAACTCAATTACTTTTGAGTGCTTTTCATGTACAGTTTCCTTTGTTATTAGTCCGTATTGGCAACTCTGGCAAGTCTTGCAACCCTGAGAGTAGAATAATATTTACATCATCATCTTTAGCTCAAGTGCTTTTTTGTTACACGGCTGAACCTTTTCAGCAGCTGGTGATTTGTAGCCTTTTAGTGATAGCTTGCAGACAAATACTGCTGCTTGTGCCGTTGTGTGTGTGTGTGTGTGTGTGTGTGTGTGTGTGTGTGTGTGTGTGTGTGTGTGTGTGTGTGTGTGTGTGAGAGCAAATCTTTTGTATGTGTTTGTCCTCTATTTGTGGTAATTATATTTGACCTGGCCAATTGGCACCTCTGGCTAACAGCACCACTCTGTCCTCCACCCAACGCCTATCTCTCTATCTCGCTCTGTTAGTGAAGTGATTTATTCTGGCTACAGTGGCATGCTAGCTTAGCTGCGATGTTGCATCCATCATCCTTTTTTTTTTTTTTTTTTCACTGAGGGAAGAAAGCTAATGCACGCTGCCAAATAGAGGATGAAACAAGCGGTCTCACAGAACAGTAGCATAGTGCTTACACCCTCTACAAAAAGCACTACTTTGAAACTAAGTGCACTACTTTTCTTTACTGAATGGGTTTACTCATTTGTCGAAACTGAGGGTGTCAGACAGGGAAGAGTGGCTATACATGGGAGTTTCAAGTGAATGTTGGAAGCTTTTTTTGAGTGTTTTTTACAGTTGGTGATGAGAAGAAAGAGAAAAGAGCAAGAAAAAGAAAAACATTCAAAAAAAATGAAACAGAAATAACTGCCACGAGGAGGCAAAGGAGGAAACGCTGAATAAGTGATGAGGATAATGGTGAGGAGGATGAAACGGAACAAATCAGGTTTCTGTAGCGGCTCTATTCCT